TACACATGCAGGAAATTATGGGGATACAATAATTAATTCAGTTGACCAGAATCATGAATTTAATTGTAAATTAGTATTTACAAATATGGAAAACCCGTAAACAAAATATGAATAAGAGTCCGTGACCTTTAAAATGTGAAAACCTACAGTAAAAACAAACATTCAAATGCATAATTGAAATGTATTTTATTTCATGATAAATACTTTTGTTATTAGTAAAGTTTGTGAACATTTATTATCAGAAATGGTTTTACTTTTTTATTCCGTTATAATTTCACGAGATCATGACAGCATGTAATTTTAATAAAATATTTAGTTAATAATTCATATACCTACCTACCAAAATGTTTTAATTAGATTCTGAACAATTTTAATCAAAATTATTGTAATGAATCTATAATAAATTTAAATAGGAACACAAACTTACATACATATTTTATAAAATTGAAGTTTATATTTAAATATTTTGATAATTAGTCATGTTATATTTAACTATTGTTTCTCGACAAAATTATTTATGAACCTTAAGAACAAAAACAAGACCTATATCAACGAAATTGATAGTAAAGTGCACAATTATTATTAGTCATGTTACTAGTAAACGTAGTTCTCAAGAAAATTATTTATGAAACTTAATATAAATAGAACAAGATCTATATCAACGCAACTGATAATAATGTGCTTAATTGATTAGTCATGTTTTTAGTAAATGGTGAGCAAAACAAAATATATAATTTATGAATCTTATAAATAATAGAATGAGATAATTATCGACAAAATTGATAATAAAGTATTGAAGAAATCACGTTTGAAAAAACATTTTAAAAAAAAATATAATAAAATGAATGTCTACAGTAAACTCAAATAGTTGTTAAAGAAAAAATATTATTTCAGATTATTTACATGATTCATTTTCATATCGAGTTACAAGATCTAAGAAAATCATTATGCTAAATTTAGATAAAATATGAATTAATTTGAACTAGAAAATAAAAAAATAATTTATCTTCTAAACTCAAATTATTAAATCTTTTAAGGCTTGATCCATGTAAAACTAAAGAATATAATAACTGATAATATTATGTACCAAATTAGAAATAATAAGCTTGGAAATAAGTTATGATATTTGAATTTAATTTTTAAGCTACCTACTCATTTATTTTATGAAAACGAATATTTATCAGTATTAGCTAGTTAGGTGACATATTATGTTGTGTCTAAATCAATTTTTGAGAATTATAATACAAATTATTTAAAGTCTCAATAAATTGTAAATAGGTGTAACGATTTTCCGAAAGAAAAATGTCTTGTATTGACTGTATTGATATTTGATAGTAAATACATTCAAGCAAACACAATGATCAAATGGTATATATTATGTATATTAAATTATTGGTTTACAGTATTATTTTATAAAAATCACTCTTTTACTGTAAAACGATCATACGGTAGGATTAGTTATATTTTACTCATCAAAATACATCATTTTTAACGTTGTTTCCCCCGAAACAATGTTTTGAAAGAGCGCCCCTTGAATCCGTCAGCGTCTTTGGTAAAAAAAATTAATTATTATAAACTCTACTTGAAATATTATATTAATTATCTAGTAATAACTTGCAATACTTATGCCGAGTTGCATAAAAAAATTGATTAATTTAATGGTTCACTAAAATTTAATGGACCACTGACGGGCCACTAAATCATGTTTAAGGGACAATTAGCTCACAATCGATTCATTAAATGTTTAGTGATTGTTTATGCAACCCAGCATTAATGCTTTTAGTAATTAATTTCTTAACTTATAAGTTATAATTAATACATTTTAAGATGGAAAATAGTTAACTATTGTTTCCTATAGTATGTTTAATGTAGATACTATAATAATATATACTCGGTAAGTTTAACTAATTAAACAATATTATTTTTGCTATTAATTTATTGACTGATACCAAAACCCATAATATTAAAGTATAAACAAAAATCGGTTGGTGTTTCACACTCTGATATTTTTTTTGAGTTTGAATAGTAAACAATAGTAATTGTGGAGTGGCTTGATGTTTTAGACCCACAGAGTAGAGCCGTAAAACCAACTGCTATCTTAAAATGTTTACACTCCGTTTGGAGGGGCATTCCCGTAATGAGTGTATTAAATGTATAATGTATACAGCGTTACTGTTTAAAACATAGATAATATGTACATACATTTGTCGATAAAAATTAGAATTGAGTCAAATCTAATTGAAAATAAACTACAAAACCCTTGAATTTGTTGTAAAAACTAAAAATAATATTATTGTGTGGCACTGACAAGTTCAATTAAAACCAATACGTACTCCATAACTTGTATAATATAAAAAATGTATTTTCAATCTATAGATATTATATTATTTTAGGTAGTTACGATATATTAAAAAAAAAGTGAAATATTGAAATGAACAAAAGTTATTACATAGCCGGTTAATTAAATTTGTTCGCTATTTGTGTTACGCCTTACACCCTGTGTGTACCCAGAAGTGTAATAAAAAATATAATATAATATTAAAATATGCAATTGATTCTACATTTCATGATCTCAAAAGTAAAATTCTTATTAAAAATGTTCGACATGCGTGTTGATGTGTCGCGTGATCGTAATCATTTACCAAACGTCCGTGTCACACGATAAGACTCACCTCTACTCGAAGAGAGAAAAAAAAATGCGCAGATTCATAAAAGTTTCTCTAGTTTCTACGCGGTTACGAGTTTATTTCCACCACAACCTTATTTCACTAACCCGTCATACGAATGTCGTGTTCTCGTTATTTTGGTTTTAAAAATCGTACTGCAATATATTGTCGCGGTCATTTATTCAAAACGCGTAAGCGAATAATAAGGTAACGTGTTTTCGTAAATTTCATTTTATTTGTTTTTATCGTTTATGCGCAGTTGCAGTGCGTTCATCAAGTTATCGGTATTACTTTAAACGTAAACGCTCAGTAATGGAGAATAAACTTCTCAGTCAAGGTGCCCCCCATTTAAAACCAAAACTACCAAATGCCCATACTTTCCACTCCGGAACTATACATTTAAACAAAATCCATACGCTGGCAATAGGTACAATACCGTCATTTGTAGTAATTGGGCAAAAATCCCGGGACATGAGTTTAAAAAAATAAAAATAAATGTTTGCACTAAAACTCACTCAGATTGAGTACGTACTAACACAATTCAAAGGCTGACCTCAAAACGTTTTAAGTGTTTGTGGGGAATTCTAAAACCGTTGTGCAGTGTAACGTCCCCGCACGGTAGGTCAGGTACGCGTCCGGAATAATAATATAACAGTGACTTGTGTGCGCGCGTATTAATTTCAACAACAACAGTAAGACACACACTCCCGAGTCTGACCGTAAAGTGAAAAACAATAATGGAAATTTGCAAGAAAGATCGAGAGATTTATCGTCACGAATTACGCGTACCTATTTCAATTTATTGTTGAAACGCGATTGCCGATGGGACGTCATTGTTTTCGCCGTTATACGACCAAACTCCATACATCCGTAAAAAGCGCATAACCTTTAATATAATATTATTACGTACCAGAGTACCACACGGTATTGTCAATTATGGATAATAATAATAATAATTATTATTATTATTATCACAGGTATGAGCTGTGCGTTGAACCCATCACAAATTTATCGCTGTAAAATAATATTATTATAATATTATGTTCTAGGTCATGATCAGATATTTAACCACACACACACACACATACACACACACACAGACACACACACACACACACATACACACGCACACAGCCATTAATCTTCGTCTGATCGACATAGATCGACACACACGCGGACCGGTGAACGTGTTGAATAATGTTCTATTATACCGAGCGGATTGTATTATTATTATATTTGACTATGGAATAGTTACATTCGAACGAAGATTACGGTCTCGTTATGATCTCTGATTTGTCATTTTGGTACCATTGTTATTATTATTATCGTAATCATCGCTATCAATGTCATGTGTACAACATTATAAATATTCGTGCATTATGCGCGACGAGTACCTGTCCTATTTTAAGCCCGCCGACGATATGATGTCCATTCAATATCGCGTACAATACCGTATTATTGAACACTGCCTACTACCAAACTACTCGCGCATTATGATGGCCGTCGTCGAAACAACAATCATTTTACCCATTTCGTTATTAATAATTATATTACAATAAAAATAATTACAAAATATAATGGTGATGGTATCGAGCTAACTCGGGGGACAGCTCCACCTTCCGACTCTAAACCTGTTTGTGCATTATTATCGAATCAATGTAATAAATAATAATAATAATAATATACAGAAGGTAGGAATCGTATTATTATTTTAATGCGGCGACGATGATGGACCGGCGCGGAATCGTCTATTCGACCTAGATTTCGGCCTACCTAGTAGGCGAAATAATGCTCGGCAGCCAGGCCGGTCAGTGTCGTGCTGGTAACCGGCTGGCGCAGCCGATAACCAGGTAAAGGTAGACGCGCGTTATTGCAATATTATAATGTCAGACGTCAGTTTAAATACTTTTACAGCAGGCATATTACGTGTGATGCAAAACCGAAACGGAACGGAGCACCGACTCGGATAATATTGATATTATTACGAGCTGATTATTATAGAGGGCCGCTTTTATCGGACGTCTATTTTAGTCGCTCTAACCTAAAATCTGGTATATAGTTAGCCGGCGAAACCCGGTCGGGTCCGGTGTATAGTTATGGCTTGCAAACCATTGTACGAACTTCTTAATCAGGTAGGTTCATCTAATAGACACCTACTCGGTGCCCACCCGACACGGACGTCACGAATCCTCAAAAAATTCACGGTTTTCGACAAATCTTGGTCAACTCGGGTACGTCTCAAGTCATTTTCTCGTCAACGGTTAACAGTATGTATCGGTTTAAACCAATAGTTGTACGGCGATAACTACTACTACGACACAACAAACAACTGACCTCTGGGCGTCAACAGGTTATCTTTGCTGGACATGGCGTTCTGGTCGGCGGCGGCCGGCGTTCCGTAGCTCATCTCGAACTGCACGGGCGTCAGCGTGGACGGCGGCAACTGGTGTCTGTCCGGCGCTCCCGACGCGCGCCGTCCACCGTTCGTGGCCGACGTTCTGCGGTGGCGGTCGCCGGCGTCTCCGGCGGCCGGGCCGAAGTACGCGACGTTGTCGGCGGCGGTCGTGGCCGGAGCCGACGTGGTGATCGCGGCGGCGGCGGCGGCGGCGGCGGTGGTACGTTGACCGGCGTCGGTTGTACAGTGGTCGGGAGTTACCGGCCGGCGGCGGTCGCTCGCGGCCGAGTCTTCTTCGGGATCTGCGCGCGGAGGCGGAGGCGTCATCGCGACAGCGTCGTCAGTTGGCGGCGGCGGCGGTGGATTGAATGCGACGCGACGGGACGACTGCGGATCGGGCGACGACAGGCCGCGGACATTCGAACGACTGAGCGATACGACGGACGGTCGGACTGTTATGGGGATATTTCAAGCCGGTATCCTACAACGGTCGACCTGTTTAGGCGTGTTCGGCGGCGCGGATTGCGATTTGCCTGGCGATCGAATCGACGAGCGTGTGGCGTTCGGGACGGCGACGCGATCGTGTGCCGGCGACGACACGAGCAGAACACGAGGACGAGAGATCCACACGATTGAGAGAGCCGTCCGGCGTCGGCGGTAGCGTGGTGCGAGTGCAACGTGCGCTCCCCACCGCTCCTCCCCGTCTACACGACGCCCCTTCACCTCGCCGCCTTCCCACCACGCGCTCACCACTACTACTACTACTACTACAACTACTACAACTGCCTACTACCTACTACTATTACTACTACAACAACTATTATACTAATATCGTATTATTATAATATAATATGTGCTGTCGCCTGTTCACGTACTTTACTTACTACTACTACTACTACTACTTTTCACGTGACATTTTTTTTTCCTTTTTTATCGTCGAGTAAGTATTTAGTTTTCAAGGTCTGAGTGCGATTCTCCGAATATACCCACCCCCGACCACCCACGTGCGACGAGTGCACTCGACTCGCCACCGTTTTTTTTTCCCACCCTCGTGAAACAAGCTGTAAAATGTATTTTATGATAATAATAATAATTTATTATTATCGAGTGTGGGTGTGTATAATATAGGTATATGTCCGTGCATTATACACGACCAGCGGGCGCGTGATATGACGTCTTATAACACACACGACCAGCAGCTACCGGTCCACTTACCACTTACCGCAGCAGACGATATCGTTACAGTATTAATCATGACAATAATGTACCGACGACGACGACGACGACGACGACGATTAGTCGACACGACTGATACAATAATTATACCCAATACGATATAGTCGGTTAGTGGAATCGGTAAACGTCACTCGTCTTTCGTGCCGACGACGTTTAAAAGAAAACATATTGGGTGTTCAGTCGGTGGTCGTGTTCCGAAACGCCTAGACGTCTTATCGAATTTCTAGTTGAAGGTTGGGCAAATAGTCGAGGCCTTGCATTATTACATTATTACGAATAACAGGTTTTGAATTGGGCGATCGTAGAGGCAACCAATGGGCAGGCAGGAGTTATATTTTATTTCGTCAAGCAGCAGTGTTTGCTTTCGATAACTATGCGTATTCAAAACACAGAAAAATATTGGAAGTCTTATAACTACAAGAATGTAGTTGCACGGTCATTTCTCGTACCCGCCAACAAATTAAACGTCATTAAAAATAAAAAATAATTAATCCAAATACATCTGCGAGTTCGGATATCAATAAGGGGTAGTGACGTGTAACGTAATACTTTACTTCATAACACGATAAATATACCAATAAT